CTGCTACAAACTGCTGCATGCCCCGTCTTCTGAGATCCTTTGTCTGTCTGTGGCACCTCACAGCAAAACTGTGCAAGGACTGGGCACTGCTGCAGCTCAGCACTGCTGGGTTTTCTGTTCCAAATACTCAAAGTCCTGGTGCAAATGCCAATGTGCATCTGTATACATGTACCACTGAGCATGTAAACCTGGTGAAGTGCACCCAGGACTGCAAGAAATAAATAATGACAGTCTCAGCTTCAGTGTTGAACAGACTTACCAAAGAAGAAATAACAAAAAATTGGTGCAATTTTTGTTTGTAGTTTTTATTGATAAAGGAATATTTTTGTTTGAGTCATCTCACCATTTATCAATTATTTTGGTGGCAGCATGGAAAGGTAGTACTATGAGGAAAAAAGCAGTGTGGCAAAATTCCAGCTCTCAGGAAGGCATAATGTTTCTGTAAATCTTTGTTTTTCATTTCTTGTCCCAGTGGGGGTGCTGTGCTTTAACTGACTTGCCTCTCCTGGAGAAGCCTGTCACAGGCTTCAGCACTTCAGTGTGACTTCTCCCACAGACAGCTTTCTTCTGCTTCCCTCATTACTATGTGCTGTGGCAGAAAATACATTGTATTGTGATATTCCAAGGAGAAGATAAGATGCTATTAAGATCATTCAGAGACCAGACTTATTAATGCAGCATGTTAAAGCATTATTTTCTGATGTTGTGTTGTCATCTTAGCTGTATATGCACTTGTTAGAAAAATTGTCATGAAGGCTTTTTATCCTCATTGATTAACAATAAAACTGTGCAATTTGATAAGCTTTAGGAGGAAGCAGGATTTCTGGGTTTGCTGCTTATGAGAAAGAAATGTTTATTCAAGTGGAAATATGGAAATATTGGAGGTTTTTTTTTAATGACATTGCATGTATTAATTTGAAATGATTTTTTTTTCAAAATCATTATCTCCAATACTGCTTCAGAGGGAATAGTACACTTAAATTGTAAGTGCTTGTTTGTGTATCAAATGATGAAAAAAATCCATACATGAAATAATGGAAATTTGCTTCATCTAATTAATTCTATTGTGTAGGATATTGGGTTATACTTGCTTGAATCATATTAATTATGGAAGTAATTTTGTAGTTTTTAAAGTGAAACATCTGTGTCCGTATTTTGTTCAAAAATAATGAACAAGTCCTCAGCACTCTTGGATGAGGTTGCATACCATAGTTTAAGATTCAAAACTCACATACTGCTAAAAACTTAAAGGATGTTCATGCTTGTGCATCAGTTCAACATCAGTCAGTCATTTATATTACGTTTAGAAACAGACTAGTAGAGGAGAGAGAAAAATGCTCCATTGTATTTAATTGATATTTGCCTTTTGTAGCTGTAGTTTTCCAGCGTGTCTCTGAAATGCTTTGCTATAGCAGGGTGGTATTTAACACAGAGGGATGCTGAAAGGTTGAAACCATCTATGCACTCCTTTGGTAGCCTCAGCCTCTTACCCATCTCCTATTCAGTCTACAGATTTTAGTTTCAGCTTTCTTTTTAGAAATAGAGATTATTGAGATGTTCTGTCTGTTCAGAGTGGAACTGTGCACAACAAAAATGAGCTGCTCTTTCTTGTCTTAATTGGAACACTTACCCTTGCCAAAGAGGAGGCCTGGAGTGTTCTGACCTACAATATTTGTGTACATTTTTTGTGCGTGCAGTGTAACAGACTTTTCCCTTTGTTGGCTGTATTTTAATAAGGCATTACTCAATCACAAATTACTTTCAGAAACATGTATTACTTAAGGACTTTTTGGCAACAAAGCAATTAAATGGCTCATGAAAAAGATGCTTTAAATAGTGAGAATACTTGCAATTATATTATGCTTTGAGCGGCCATTTTCTGATTCATTGGAGTTAGATTGTAAAATCTGTAATAGCATTATAGATAGTATTGCATATAAAACACCATCTTCGAAAGCTGATATTTTTTCAAACTGCTTTAATGTAAGAGCCTACTTAGAAGATTAGATCCTTAAATCTCCAGCTCCATGCTCATTGTTATTTGTGATAGTTAGCAGTTAGTTATGGTGGCAGGAGCTTCTAATCACAGAGCTTCTAATGATGTTTTCTCTGATAGAGTGCCTCTATCTTACCGTGTTCAAAAATGACATCTTCTGTCTTGCTAATTGTGCATGATCTAAAAAGCTGTTTAACTGACATTTATTACTGTTTCAGAAAGCAGCGTGAGGCTGAATATATTTTATTTCTTTAACAACATACTATTATACTACATATACTACATATATGCTATACATATATACCTACATACTATATACTACATATATATTTTAGAACTTTCTAGCCTGTAGTCAAGCACCAAAAAAATTGATTAGGGATGTCCTTGATGCTGATTGCATGGTTAATTCCCGTTATTATGGGAATTTTCCTATTGTACATTAACTTCACGTAAGTCTTACAGAAAGCTTTCACTCAAACATTACTTTTTAATTACTTTGAATAATTATGGACTCCTAAATTTTATCCAGTTATTAAATTAAAGCACTTTTTTCTTAGAAATAATTCTTTCCCTTTATGCCCATTTCCCACCTTCTCTCTCACTGAGTGTGAGCTTTCTATGCTCAGTACAGGATTCATCCATTTCTTGTTTTCCTTGCCAAAATTTGTTGAAGCGTTTAAAGTATGCTTTTATTTTTAGTAACTGAGCAGTATTCATGTCTGCAGAGGAGAATCTTCTGCATAATGAAGACATGGCACAGTTGTTTTTTTAAAAAAAAAGCTTTGGTACAGAGGACATTCATCAAGTGGTCCAGCTTCTGTCATTTTAAGTCAGTCCTTTGGAATAGGCTTTCACAAGTCTCAGAATAACTACTATTTTTTTAGTACAACTTGCTTATACAAGTTGCTGTTCTGTTTCAATTGAACTCTAATAAATGTCATATGAGTAAGGCTTATACTATTATGTTTAGGATAAGTCCTAATTTTCTAGACTGTACTACTAAGATCAAAATAATTTTTACTTGAGTGAAAATAGCACTGTGGATCTCAGGTATATCCAGTCCATGAGTAGAATAGAAAGTTGTAGCATTCATTAGTTTTAAATGAAGTGGGAGTGAAGAAAATGAGGTCAGCAGACAGATCTGTTTGGAAATCGGGAATTCAGTGAACAAAATACAGGTATCAGGGATGTGTTGTTGGTTAATAGTGGCTGGGCTTCACCTGCGTGGCTGCTCAGAGATCAAGCTGTGCATGCTGCCATTTTGTCAGTTATCTGTAGTTTCATTGGTATCAACACCAAAGAGTAGTGTAATGATTATTAAAAAGAAGTGGGGGTAGGGTGAGTACTGTACTCTATTAACCACCTGGAGGAAAGGGGAGGAGAGCAGCTGGGGGTCACAGAATCATAGAATCACCAAGGTTGGAAAAGACCTAAAAGGTCACCCAGTCCAGCCGTTCACCTATCACCAATAGCTCCCACTAAACCATGTCCCTCAACACAACATCCAGCCTTTCCTTGAACACCCCCAGGGTCGATGACTCCACCACCTCCCTGGGCAGCCCGTTCCAGTGCCTGACCACCCTTTCTGAAAAGTAATACTTCCTAATGTCCAGCCTGAATCTCCCCTGCCGTAGCTCGAAACCATTTCCTCTGGTCCTATTACTAATGACACGAGAGAAGAGGCCGACCCCCAGCTCACTACAACCTCCCTTCAGGAAGTTATAGAGAGCAATGAGATCTCCCCTGAGCCTCCTCTTCTCCAGGCTGAACATTCCCAGCTCCTTCAGCCTCTCCTCATATGGCCTGTGTTCCAGACTCCTCACCATTTATCATTAGGTGCTCACCAAGGGCTGCCTTAGGCTGTGGGTTGCTATGGGACTCCCCTGTGGGATTGCTTACAGTCTGTGAAGTGAAATTCCTTTTAAATTTCCTAGGAAAGAGGACCTTTCCCAGGTAGAAATGAGGAGATGGAGGATTTAAAAATAAAATTTAAGACACTGTTAAAGATGTTGTTGCACATAACTTGTGTAGCACTCATGTAATGCGACTCAGCTTTGTAAGTAGGCTGAAATTGTACCTTCTGAGAAGTTTGTTTTTGTTGTGAGTGTTATCACAGCAATTTATTTTGGAGATACTAAGGGTGTGCATGGCTAATTGTGGCAGATAACTTGATATGGGTAGAAAAACTGTTGATTACCATCAAAGCAAGTTAAGATTGCATGAAATAATTGCTGAACTGGTTTTGTCACTCTGGTGTTAAATGCTAAACCATTGTTTGGTTTAAGTTGTACTGTGAATATAAGCAATGCATTGCTGCTATTGACAAACCTTAATCACATTGTTAATACAAGTTAAATATGTAACCACAGAGAGCATAGCTTTATGTATGCTAGTAGCTACGAGAGCATTCGTTTAACATTTATTACAAGTTACTGTTTATTTATTTATTTATTTTTTTCTGGGTAGTGGGGGAACAGTTCGCAGCTGAACCACTGTATAGAGGAAGAAGATCTATTCAGCTTTGGATGAAACCTCAGGCAGTTTTGTAAATGTTTTCTATTACAAATAAGTTTAATAGGGTACATTAAAAAAGATGTATATTTAAACCTATATGGTCCATACCATGTTGGTAGAATTACAGTAAATTGCTGCATTTTATTTCTGTAATTATCTTACAGACTGCTAGTTGGTATTGTCCAGAATGTTATGTTCAGCACATTTTAAGAGCAGTCATATTTTGGACAGCTTGTATAAGCTCATTTTATTGTCTCATAGGGATATAAAATTACTTATCTAGAAAGAAAAAAAGGCATCTATTAAAGGGGGATAACATCTGCCCCTTTGGAATTATGCATGTCTGCTGTTGAGAGGGGAGGAATAGTGATCATCTCCTGTGTTGTAGCTTTGGGTATGTGCAGTGCAGTTTTCCTATCAATAATATTTCTAGAAATATGTGATTATGAAATGCGATCTTTTCCTTCTATTTTTTTTTCCATTCCTGTAGGAACTTGGAAGTAACAGCCCTCCGCAGAGGAACTGGAAGGGAATTGCTATTGCGCTGCTGGTGATTCTAGTTGTTTGTTCACTCATCACTATGTCTGTCATTCTTTTAACACCAGGTAACCTACTTCTTTATTTTATCTTACTGAAGATGTATGATTCATAATGCACTCATTAAAATGACACATATATTTTAAAACATCTTGCCTTAAGCATTTTTAACTCCTGACTCCTATAAACTTGGTACTCATAGGGCCTTCTGAGCTACTGGAGGCTTTATGTAGCACAAGTACTACTGCTTCAGCAGTAGGTCATTAGGGTTGTATCGGCCTTGGGATGGCTACAAGCATTAGCCTCAGTGGGTAGGAGCTTGAGTGCACGATTTTTGTCACTTTTGTCTTAGTGTAATTTCTCATTTAGAGATGAGCTGTCAGAAGACTAGATGTCCTGAAAAACTAATAATGAGAATGAAACTTACAACTGAGCCAGAAGTATGCAGGTTTCATATAGACATGAACAAGCTGTTGCCATTATCTTTCTCACAGAAAACAGCTACTTAACTTAAAACCAAGTAAACTACTCAGTAGTTCACTCCCCAGTAAGAAAAGGGGGTTGGGTAGGTGAAATTAATAGACAAAAAAACAATTGCACACGTGTAAAAACTTATGCTTAATGGTTATTTTGTTCTAATTTGACCTGGGTTATTTTTCTGAAGATTTTATTGCTGGGACAGCAGCTGTTTGGAAACTTAAGAGAAGGAATCACTGCACAAGTTTTAAAGAATCGTTGAGTTCTTTCTACCAGAATTGAGTTGTTTCTGTCAGGTTTAAAAGTGTGATAAAATTTCAACTTTGAATGTTGTGTCTATGTAACAAATATTGGTCTTTGGCCAATTGGACTTTGTTATGCAAGTGTTCAATTTACGTAAACCAAAATACTAATGAAATGAAATGCCCTTCAGATGGTTTCAGGCCATTTGGCCACTGAATGAAATAATCAAGGGAAGCTTGGTGGGTTTGTGGATGAGCAACTGTACTAGTGTACTGCTGCTGAAAGGAAGATGGTAAACCCAATGGAAAAGGTGTAGGGAAGCTTTGCCCTCGTTTTACAAGTGAGAAAACTGAACTGATGTTTTCCTTTGCACAGAGCCAGGATCAAAGGGGATATTTCTGCTTTCTAATCCTGTTCTCAAAGTGCTCTAGGTTCATGAAGATGGTGGAGGGCCTAGAGAGGAAGATGTATGAGGAAAATCTATGGCGCCTGGGTTACCTCAGTGCTGAGCAGAGCTGGCTGAGGGGAGGCCTCATGGCAGCTTCAGCTTCTCACAGGGAATGGAGGGTAGTGCTGAGCTCTGCTCTCTGAGATAGTCACAGGGCCCAAGGGAACAGCATGGAGCTGTCAGAGGAGAGTTTGGTGGGGTTGAGAGAGGTCCTGCCCCGGAGGATGGTGGGCATGGAACAGGCTGCCTAGGGATCGGGCACAGCCCCAACCTGTAGGAGCTCAGGGAGCATTTAAGCACTGCTTTCAGACATATGGTCTGATTCTGGGCAGTCCTGTATAAAGCTGGGAGTTGGATACAATGACTTTATGGGTCCCTTCTATTATAAGAAACTTTTCTTCTTAGAGGAAGTGAGACAGCTAAGGAAAGTGTGTAGGAATATTGTGGTTCGTTCTGTTTCCCATTTTGTAGAAGTATCTAAGTATGCGTAATGCTGTCCAAGGGAGTGATAAAGAAATGATTGTTTAGCTATTACTAATTACGATATTTGGAAAAAAATAAAAGCAGATGTGCTGCTGTAGTCTCGAGATACAGGATTTTCTTTGGGGAATAAGAAAAGACAGACTTAAAAGGCAATTGGTGGCATATCCTGATGTGCTTTAAGGCAGAAGACTGTTCTTTTCAAGGAGAGGATTGTTTAAGGCTTGTAAAATCTAAAAGATGTTGTTGATCTGGAATTCACAGTAATAAACATCAGTTCTGGCTCTAATATTACAGAATTATTAATGATGTAAAAATGTAAATGGAAGTCTTTGAAAACACTCATCAAAAACAGAAATAAACAACCCAGGGAAATGTTAATTTCCTTTCAATATGGTTTAAAAAAAAAAAAAAAAAAAAAGCTTAGTGAAGTACAACATCTCTGGAGTTGTTAGAAAACCCAGAGAGTTTACCTGAAAACTTGATGTGATCTGGGACCTACATTTCAGTTGAAATCATGTGAGTGAAAACTAGTTCTGTCAGCTCAGATGTTCTAAGATATCTCAAACAGACTGTAGAGCTTGATATAAATAAAAGCCTTTTTCCATGAATGGCCTAAGTTTTATAATATGGGTTTTCTTGCAGGTTAAAAATGCTTACCAAAGAAAGCTTTGTAGATGTGTTGTAGGACAGCTCCTTTCCCTACTTTTGACCTTAATCTGTTCCTCTTTCAATGCATGATTAATATGTTTTTGAAAGTTATTTCTTACACTCTATTAGTTTCCTGGAGGGTGCTGAGCACTGCAGCAGAAGCTTTCTGACTCTGAATATGTATCCAAGGTGACTCTGGGATATCTAGCACATAAGGAAGTGGAAAAACTCAGATTGTCTCACAACCCTTTCTGTCACTAAGTGCTGAATGCTGATGTGCTAGAGATCTGTTGTTTTAAATATTTGGTTTTGTAATTCATTTGTAATGTTGCTATTTAAAGTAGCAGACTTCTTTCCCTGTTTATTTCTGCCTGTAGTGATAGCTGCCTTTTAGACTTGGTACAGTTTTTGTAAGTGCTATCGTACTTCATTCTGCTTCTTTTTGAGGATATAGGGATGATTTTAGAGAGCAGCTGCTTAGAAGCCTGCTTAGTTGTTATAAAGCATTTCAATGAAAATCACGTTAAGGCAGAATCATATGTACTGATATGCCAGACAGATAAGCAGAATCTTTAAAACAAAGTTGGGACCAACCCCTCCATGCCATTTTTCATGCTGTTCTTTTAATAAATAAAAAAGAAACTGAAAATAAGTAGATATTCATTGCCAAAGAAATTCAGTTTCAGTTTTAATGCGCTATAGTCTCCATGTAATTTCTGTATATTAGGAAGCAAGTTTTGATATCTCCTTACAGTCAAGTTTTTTTCCTTTCTCATGTAAGTGTTATACAGACTATGCCAATTACCAGTCAGATCTGTTAGCTTGTGCACCGCTAACTAGTGCTGGTTTTCTGCTTTTCAGGCATAATTTAACATGAAACAAGTCTAACTTTCTTTTTCCCCACAGAAAATTCAGTAAAGAATGTGTGTAAATAATATATTATTACATTTTATAAATATTATATTTTATATATTATTTATAATACATTATTATAAATAATATATTATAGTTTCTAAGTTCAAAGGTAAACTTTGAGGTGCTTAAACTATTCTTAATTACTCATTTGCCAAAATCATAGAATCATGGAATCCTTAGAGTTGGAAGGAACCTTTGAAGGTTATCTAGTTCAACTTCCCTGCAGTAAGCAGGGACATCTACAACTGGATCAAGTTTCTCACCGCATGGTCCAGCCTAGCCTTGAAAGTGTCTAAACATGTGAAAATGAGTGAAGCTATTATTTTCTACTTTTGCAGTCTTGTAGTTTCCTAAACACAAACGGTTTGTCATTTTGAATGAACATACATCAGCTGTTGAATTGTTAAGGTGTTTATTGTATAATCAAAAAACGTAGCCATTTTATTTTTAACCGACTTTCTTTGTATCTTTTGTAATCAGTGTTCATTTTCTCATGTATGTAGTTTCAGAAAAAATATAGAAATACAGGGGAAACAGTGGGAGAACAGTGGAAGATGATTCAGTAAAATTTAAAATGGAAGCAAAACAGAGTAGGCTATTTGGTAATGTGGTAATAAGCATAGGATGGAAAAAAAACTGTCTTTAGAAATAAAATAAGTGCTTTGAGAAGTGCATACCACTTTGTGCTTATTCTGTATAAAGATTAACCCAGTATGGTGTGAGAGAGTTGAAATGATGTACAATTCATCTTACTATACATAAGTGAGCATTTTTGGGAACTTAGAGTAGTATTTTATTTTTTTAAGGTCAAATCAACATTTTGCTCAAAAATAACAGAATCTGCAGTATTGTTAGAGTGGGGAAAATGGACATATGAAGACCTCAGTATTGATACTGTTAAGTATTCTGAAGGCAGGAGGTGTTATATATGCTCTACTCAGCTCCACAAATACAACATATGCTTACTTAGGAGATAAAAATTCAGTGTGTAGCAGAAGGAAGAGCTAACAAGATACCATGACGTGTAAACAGAAGGATTAGGTATAAATCATTAAAGATAATGCTACTCTGCTGTAAAGCTCAGTTAAGACTACAAGTGGAGCATTGTGTCCCATGCTGGACTTGGAGGCTAAAAAAAACCCAACCCAAACAGGTAGTTTTGATCCCTGGATGGTAGGAAGAATCCTAACGCTTATTTGAGGATTAGAACATTTGTCTTGTGAGAGGTGATTTGAAAAACTCTTCATGCTTAGCCTCATAAGATATCAAGTGTGAGAAGAGCTGGTTATGATGAGTAAATGCTTGCAAGCTCCCACTGAGCTGTGGGAGGAGCGCATCAACACACTGCTTCACTGTGTCATGGGTGTCTGTGTTGGCCTTGTCTCTCCTTAATTTATGGTGTGCATTAAAAAGGAATTTGTCTTCAATGCAGCAGAGATGCACCTTATTAATACTAAATGAAGTGGCTGCAGCAGGAACACTTAAAAGTCTTGAAAACAATTGTTGTTCATTTCAGACAGCTTTCAAACAGGCCTCTGGCTGAGCTATTTGGGTGAACAAACACTGATAACTGAACTGTAATGATCTCCATTTGCTGTGAGGGGGTCACATTTTCATTTGAAAGGCATTACATACTATCTTTCCAAAGCACGTTTTGTTAGTTAAAAAATGTGCTGTAGGACATTGGGTCAGCTTAAGGATGACAAGATTGTTCCTTTCTTGCTGTGATTCAAGAGCTCTTGGCTATGGGTCTGTCATCAGTGGTGCTAATACCAGCCATCTATAAAGATGAAACCAAACTCTAACCAAAAGAAAGGTGCTCTCCACAGAGAATGTACTTGGGGATGCTGATATATTGGAACAAAAGCTCATGGAACAAAGAGATGCTGCATAGTCTGTAATAATCCTGCCCAGTGATGATAAAAATGCTTACAAGACCGGAGTGGGCAGTTATCTGGTTGGTTGCTTACTAAGTGAACAGGGGACACAGCACACAGCTTTTGGCAACTGCTATTCTTCTAAGTAGCCTAAAGCAGTTAGGTGAAGTGCATAGCTGCTGTGTATGAATATTCATTGGAAACTTTGTCTTTTGATAGCAAAATAGGACATCTGCTTTAGTACTATCTCTGATATTGCATGTGTGTGGCAGTACACTTTGGAATCATTACTATTTATGATTTATTCAACCTACAGCACAAGAAAAGCAGAATTTGGCAGAATTTCCTTTTCATTTCTCAATCACAGAAATGATTTTAGGAGCTTTGTTAGTTTTGAAATTAATACTGGCTGTATCTGTCAGGAAATTCTTGTAATGCTTTGAAATCAGTTTTCTTGTGGAATAGAGGTATGTAAAGGAGGACCTGTGCCACTACATGGCCAGAATAGTAAATAGTCAAGCACTTCACAGTTCACCTGTCATGTCTCTAAGGTGTTAGTGGTGGTTTGTTTTTTTCCTGAAGCTGTACTGAAGAAAAAAGAAACTTTTCTTTCTAATGAATAAAGATAGAGCAGTGCAGTGTCATCAATTTCAGCAGCACCTCTGAATGTGTTCTAGTTCTTTAATTCCAATGTTTTGCAAAGTACACAGAATATATTGTTTTAATAACCATGTAAAATGATCCTGTTATGTTTATTTTAGATGAGTTTGCAAATTCTTCTGAAACCAGATTGTCTTTGGAAGATCTCTTCAGAAAGGAGTTCATAGTTCATAATCCAGAAGCCAAATGGATTAATGGTAAGTGTATAACTTCTCATATAATTGGAACCTATGTATTTGCTTTGACTATTAAGTAATGTCATTGCCCAGTCATGGAAAAAGAACCAGTTAAAATCTAAACTCTTGCAATTGTCCAGTGTCCTGCTTTTCCTTGTAGTTCTGAATCACATCTGTTTCATTAACTTTAGAAGTGGTTTTCTAATCTCAAATCTCTACCTAGTAGGAACTCAGTAAAATTTTCTGTTTGTGCCACTGGCTCAGTTGGATGCACTGATGAAGTATTGCTGTTAAGAACTGGTTCTTGTTGATGGATTCACAATGAAGATCAATTAACTGTATATTGTTGTATTAATATATTCTCAAATTTGAGAATTTGAGTACTGAATCATCTGCTTTGTATCTGAAATTATTCTTAAATATTTTAAAGTATTTTTGAAATGCTTGGGCAGTTCTTAACAATTTTTTAATGTCTGCAAACCGTGTTTAAGTTTTTACTTTGGGTATCTACATAGAACTTATAAATAATTAAAGAATACCACATTTTTAATGAAAGAAAGCAAATGAGTAGTATTAGTAACACAAAATATGTTATCTATGTTATTCTTGAACTCTATTCTATGGCCTGTGTTAAGAAAAAGAAAAAGGAAACTTTTTTTATAAAGTTTTCCAAGTGTGGTAAAAAGGTGTTGAATTTGATGGTAAACATTTGAATACATTTCTTTTGTGGCATTCAGAATTCATCTGGAGAAACTCATGGCGGAAAATAATTTTGCTTGTGTTGCTCAAAGTAACAGAGGGTATAAGCATTCTGATAGTGATACAGTTGTACAGTTACAAACTTGCTATTTATTGAACGTGTTAGACAACTTGGTAAAACACGCACTGTCTTATTAGCAGTACTGGCTTTCTAGAGCTTTTTCTCAGGGTGAGAACTTGCTAGCAGTGAAGTGTTTGCATGTTTTCATTTGCCAAAACAAACAAACAAACAAAAAAAAAACCAACAACAACAACAAAAAAAAAGAACATCAACCAAGTCCTGTGTTTTTTAGAGGGGGAAAAAGAAAGGGAAAAATGGGAGTTTTTATGATTGCTATGATGCCTATATATATGTGGAGAATGTAATACGTAACTTAATACTCAGTATTCATTAGTCTAGGGCTATAGGGGGACCATTGGGCCCTTTCCTTTGGTGTTAGGAGGGTAAGTACTGATGAGCTCTGCATAGGAACATTTTGGTGGAAAATAAGTAGCTACTTATTACTACTTTATACACCTCTTGCAATGCAATAATTTGTATCTATCTCCAAGTTTTATCATCTTGACCTCTTAGGAAAGGTCAAGTAGAGAGACTGAAATAATAGTTCCTGCTGTAAGCATTTTCTGCAGTCTAGAGGATAATTTGCAGCAAAATGTCCAAACTTCACTTAAGGATTCCAAGTGCTGTATGAATCTTAGGTAAGGTCTTGTGTTTAACTGCTGTGATTCAATAAAACTTTACCTTCTGATTTATGAATTTGTTTAGCACTCTCTTCCCAATGCTTCCTTGCTTTTAAATTCTTCCCCTACAAATACCATCCTTGTGTAGTTACCTCTAAAATAATCTAGTCTTAAATAAGAAAAGGCCCTATATATGTTTGTACAGTCCATTTCCTTTTCTGCCTGAAACAGAGTCCCCTTGCCACCAGTAAATAATAATCCAAACGATTAAAGCTGCAGTGAAATGCTGTTCTTTTGTCTGAGAAAATCAGATGTTGCCAAGGGGAAAAGAAAAAATCCTCAACAGGAGTTTTAAAAGTGTGTTACCATTGATCAACTGTCATTTTAAGGTACACCTTTCCTTTATCATTTCTTCACAAAAATACCATCCTCTAACACCTTCTTTTCTTACCTACTTGGTTCTAGGCTTGAGAATGTCTGTAGTATCTACATCCCTCTGTTTCTTTCTTGCTTTATGGATGATGGCTAATGTTTTACTTGAAAATAATCACTCAGTAATTTGGTCAGCTTTTTTTAACTGAAGAATCAGTTATAAATTGATCCCCAGTGATATTTAAAATAACCTTACAGAGAGTGTACAGAACCATCAGTTCTCTGTAATTTGAAGCACTTGATTTCAGAAAGCATTCCTGTTCCTTCATGTGGTTTTGGAGAAGATGAATGAGAGACCATCTTCACTTAACATTAATGATCTTAAGGTTTCCTAGTAGGAAGTGAGATCTTAAAATGCTGCCAGTGTACAATGAAAGTACTTAAACTGACAGCATGCAGTAGCATGGTAGCAACTGCTACTGTTTCCTTTACTTCAGTCTGAGTACAACATTGTAATGGAGGTTAAAAATTTCAGAGTGATTGAGTTGAAGGAAATACTGAGTTAATCTTTCCCTATGGTTTCTGTTGCCAAAAAGCTTGTTGTGAGACTGACCTGTCTATCATATTACTTCTGTTTTGCAACAGTAGCCAGTCTTTGCCTTAGGTCAGGCATAGAATCTTGTTTCATAATGGCAGTTCTTTGGGGAGCCCACCTCCTCTGCACTAGTACAATGTGTTTAATGGAAGGTAATGATTTGTGATGTTGTCATTGATACAGCTAGTTTACAGCTAATACAACTGTGTCTCTGCTCTGTTATTTCTTCATAAACTGATGTATGAATCATAGCTTATGTGTCACCACTGGCAGTCTGCAGCTGGATCTTTGAATCAATCTGAAGAGTATGTTCAGTGTATTTTCTTCATTTCTTTTAAGAATCAACTTGGAAATATTTATGCTGCTTTGTGAAAAATTCTGAGGGCTTGAAAGGTTTGCAGTCTAATCCCTAGATCTCTGCTAATTTCTTTTTACCATCAGGGACCCTGGCTGTTGGTGATAACAAAATTTTGGAACTTTGCTTGTATTTGTTCTGCTAACATGGGAGTTTGATGTTTAGAATTTGATGTTTAGACTTTGCCAACCTGTTCTATATGTGGGAGCATGCTGGCTGCTAGTTTGTATTCCTTCAGATGGCCATGTTGTCAGCACATCAAGACATTTTTTCGTGTATCTAAATTAAAAGTGTTGGAGAAGAGCCTGAAGCCTGAGTGACAGCCTGCAGCAGGTGCTGCCCTGGGATCCTGTGTTGTGCTAAAGCTCAGCAAAGCACCTGAGTATGTGCAGATGTGCTTTACAGAGCAGAGAAGGATTTGGGCATCTGTTTAAAATAAAACTTTTGTATGGTGCTTTGCTGAAATGGTGAGATGATAAAAAGAAAATTTCTTTCTGCCTTGCTTGCCTCTGGTGGCCGTTCCTGCATTGAGTAACACTTGCAGCAGAGTCCTGCAGGGAGAAGTTAAGAACAATTAAGAACAAAGGGGATGTGTAAGGCCGTTCAGCATCACATTTCTGGAAATTGAAGCAATTCCATTCCTTTTCTGCAGATAAATACACTGCTTCTTCTTTCAGTGCTGCTGAAGGAGGGTGGATATTGGGACTGGTTGTCTGGTAGGCGCTAGCATGGAGGGAATAGCTAGGAAAGGTTTTCAGTGATGTTTTGTGGAGGGGACTAAATGTCCAGAGGGGCACAGGAGATTATAGCAGGGATTCCCTTCCCCTTTAGGACCCTCTTCTGTTATCTTAAACTGTCTCATCTCGCATGAAGCAACTGCCTATACCTTTGGCACCAGGGGAAAGAAGAGAGAAAACATGGAAATCGTGGAGAGTCAGAAGCAATAGGAGAAGGAAGACTCTGATGTTTCTGGCAGGGCTAAATTGCTTTAAAAATTTCAATGTGTTTCCTTGAAAATGGTAATAAACAATTTTACCCCAAGTCAGAATTATTTTCTCCCTGCCTTGAGAACTGTAACAAAATAAGACTTATTTTGTTTTTCTCTTTTTTCCATTATTTCCAAATTTCCTGTATTACCTTCAGCAGAGACACGGTTTTTATCTTCTGAGCAACGTTTACTAGCTTTGATGTTGTCATCTTTATTCCATCTCGCGCATCAATTTTATCAGCATGTAGGGGTAAGGAATGGGTGATGCCCATCCTTGAAAACATCAGTGGAACCAGGGGACTGCTTTTTGGAGCAACTCTTGCTCCTCATTTACATCTTATTTTGCAAACACTTACAGGGTTTGCCAATGTAGTATCTGTGCTTTTTTTAATTGCAGTTTTTATTTTAAGGATGGAAGCATGTTTTACAGCTGTACAATCTCTTCATTGCAAAGATCTGTAGACTGCATGTTAAAGCCAGCATGGCAAAACATTACCTGACTGAAGAACGATTCTTGCTGTTAGGCTTACTTAAAGAGCAAGTGGGACAGTAGTTTCCCATACGTATATTTACAGCTTAGCACCTTGTGCCAGCTGTGCACTGTCTTTATCCCCTAGAGAGTAAAGTGTGTAGTTAGTGGTGTTTTTCTGGACCTAATGCTCTTTCTTCCTTGAGTCTTTGTTGGCTCTAGACTATCCTGAAAAATTGAATGAAAATCGAGTCTGGGAAACTCAGCATGAAGACCATTGAAATTGCTTTAAAAATTATGGATGATAAAATGAAAGTGGTTTGGGAAGCAAAGCACACCAAGATTCCATTGTGCAATCTGTGCCAACTTCACATGGGAAGCTGTAATTTAAACCATTTGACATTTTTAAGGGAGTTTTTCTTGTGCACGATGTGAATGTGAACTTCATCAGAGCGGAGCCTGGAATGTTGTTTGTGTGTGGGTATGCATCAAGTGTAAGGAGTCAGTCCATCACTGAACAAGAAGAAAATTCTGCTCCAGAAAGTTGCTGCTGAGTTAGAGCTGAAAAGCAGACAAATATATTACAGTTACATAGCTATACATGTTGGTATTACTCTTGTAATTTATAATGGGTATCATTAAGAGCGAAGTCTTTTATTTATTTATTTATTTATTTATCTCCCACATGAGATTCAGAAGCAGCCAGACTTGGAAGGCAGCCTTTGTATACATGAGCGTTTTCAGTCTGTGCTTGGCATTCAGATGTTTGGAGTGTGATATGATGCCCTAGTGCTTTGGCAGG